GGAATTTGCAAACCCCCCCCCCCCCCCCACCACCACCACCACTCCAGTTCTGATGAAGGTGACCCCTCTACAATAGTTTGGATAACTCTGGCCTAAATAAGCTCCAAGGCTCACTCTGGCTGCAAAGTCTGTGAAGATGAGCAAGTTCACATATACCAAGTGTACTGTTTAGTGAGGAGGTCAATTAACTTAGACAGAAAAAGGTAATATTTAGGAGTGAATTCAGTTCACATCACTGGCTCCTGGATCCAGTCATTCTCTAACAAGCACACCAGGGCTGAAAAGTGTCCCCCAAGTGTTTTGCATTATGTAATCCCAGTTCACAATTTCTCATCTACAATTCCAAAGTTAGTTAAAATTAACATACCCCAAACACCAAAATTCTTAAGTTTGGAACAACTCATTTGGCAGTCAAACCTGACCTGAACGGAAATAAGTTTATTTACAGATGTTATATAAGCCCATTGCTGTGAATATTTATAAATTTCACTGCAAAAATACCAATATGCTTGATGATGAGGCTATATTAATTATCTATTATTACATAACAAATTATCCCAAAATGTAGCGGCTCAAAATAACAAACATTTCAGCCTAGCCTGATGGCATAGTCAGCAACAAACTGAACTGCAATGCGGGAAGTCACATGGCTGACGAGGGGTTCAGATCCCCCAGTGGGCTCAAAAAACATGCTAGGTGTGTGCGCGTGTGCCTAAGATCCTGAGGAGTTGGAGGGTTGTGGGAAGGGGATGGTGGGATGATGACATCCTGTTGAAAGTGCTTCTCTTTCTCATATGCACATGCTCTTGATCATGAATAAAATAAACTTTATAAAGAAAAAATAGAGCCAGCCTGTGGTGTGGTGGTTATGGTGGCTAGATCACACATGGCCAACTGCACAGTTTGATTCTTGGACCTAGGGGCTTGAGAAACACACTGGGCGCTTGTGTGTATATGGCCAAAATCCTGACAGGAGGGGCAAATGGAAGACAAGGGATTGGGGCATGACCGTTACCATAAGGGGAAAAACTTTCTCACTCCCTCTCCTTTCACTTTCTATCTCTCTCCAGCCAGTGTGTACACCCTCTGGCAAAATCAAAAAGAAAGGAGGAAGCAAGAAAAAAGCAAACATCTGTTGTCACACAGTTTCTGTGAGTTGGGTATCCAGAAGTAACTTAACTAGGTAGTTGTGGCCCCAGTGCTCATGTGGCTGCTGGAGCTGTGTCATCTGAAGGCTCCATGGTGGCCGAGGGATTCTTCTGCAGGATGCTCACTCATGTGGCAGTTGCCTTTTGTGACTCAGTCTCTGTAGCGTCATTCTGTCAGTTCTGCCTTATCCTGTTTCTGAGAAGAGAGTCACCACTAAGTTGCCTCTTTGGAGGATACACTCAAGAAGAGGAGGAGGTTGCACTTCTTGAAGAAAAGAATATAAAAGAATTTGTGAACATATTCTACCACAGGTCTGCCATGTGGGATCTAGCCACCACAACCACCATACCACCTGTACCTCACAGGGGGTATTCTGTTACATACAATGTATGGAGTAGTATTACTCTACTAGAGAATTCAGCCAAGATTACTAAATGGCTTTGAATTACACTTGGCACCAGGGGTTTGGATAAAGGGCTCTGTTTCTGTAGAATCATGATAAGCTTGCAGTATGGATTTTTATTTTCCACTTTAAAGAAGCCAAAGGAATGGTTTAGAATACTTTCAAGCTGGGAGGAACCTTGTGGACTATCCAGTCATTAGAGCCGAGTCTCATCTCCTTCACTCTGCAGATGAGTAATTTGAGAATCAGAGCAGAAAAACAGTATTTGCTAAGATCATTATTCTATATTTCAGATACTATGCTAAGTGCTGTGGCTATATTGCTTTATTAAACTCCCCAAGCATACTTATCACCATTCTTGCTTTAGTGATGAGAAAAATAAGGATCAGAGAGGCAAGCAGCATGTCCTAGATACAAGAGCTACTGTGTTTGGGAGACAAGATTAAAACCTCTCTCAAGTGCACTGTCCATCTAAAGCTCCCTCATGACCCCCTTGGGATTTGACCTTAGAGCTGGCCAAGATTTAGGCACCATGTCCCTAGAGGGTCAAGGTGAAGATCTGC